TTATAGTGAATGCTTAATGCTGATGATAATTTAACCGAGACAACAGTGAGTAGGAACTATCTACAAAACCATATATACGTAGAAAGTATGAAAATATATTTGGAAATAAGTATAATGCTTGCTATAAGGATAGTTTGTATATTATAAGTTATGCTGTTCCTAATTTTACACATCAATTTTTTTATTTCAATATAGGCTTTAAAAATATATTTATGCCTAAAAAACAGGAACAATTTTACAGCTTAGTATAAATTGTTAGGTTTCTTTCCAAAAACTATAATCGTAACAGGTGTAATAACATCTATCTGTAAATATTTATTGTAAGTAAGAAAGTCTGTGCTAATTTGACAGGAAAATATCATATTTAATCCTCATATACTCAATTACTAATATATTTTGAAATACTTTATTTAAGGTACAGATATCTACATGTACTCTTTTGCAAATTACCTACTCTTGTATTTTGAATATTGTTATATGGTGAGCTGAGTATTTTTCTTATTAATTTGCATAAGTGAGTTGTATTCTCACTTTATTTTTTTTAAATTTTTTTGTATTTTTTTGTATTCTGACTTTAAATCTTTGTCTCAAATGGTCTTTTAATTATTAAATTTTTTATTATTATACCATTAAGAGTTTATCTGGAATTTAATCTTAGTTATGATATAAGGTGAGACTACAGAGGTGCTTCGGTAGCTCAGTCGGTTAAGCGTCTGACTCTTGGTTTTGGCTCAGGTCATGATTTCAGAGTCATGAGATCGATCCCTGCGTCGGGCTCTGTGCTCAGCATGGAGTCTGCTTGAGATTCTCTGCTTCTCCCTCTCCCCCTGCCTGCATTCTTTCTCCCTCTTTCTCATAAATACATACCTACATACATACATACATATATTTTAAAATAAAATAAATAAAAAAATAAAGTGAGACTATAAAGTGACTCCCCCACCCTAAAGATCATTTACTGAATAATCCATCACATTCTTCATTGATTTGTGAGGATTTCTCTATTACATATTACGTACTCACACATGAATTCCATTTTACTTGATGTCTCTGTTCTATTGATCTATTTTTGAACAACTGTTTCCAGTCCACCAAGCTACTGCTCTGATACTCACACTATGTAGCCAGGATCTTATCATGGCTAGAATTGCACTGTCTCATATAAACAACTTAGGCATTCTGTCTTCTACTGCCAACAAACTCCTACTTTCAACTGCTTCCGTCTGCTTCCAAGATAACCCTTTTTCAACTTAAGCATGACCTTCAGTCTGCAAGACTTTACTACCTTCTATGTCTAGCTTTCACCCCTCCAGCTTGTAAGCGCTAACATTTCAATCACATTCATTCAACACACCTTTACCAAATGCCCACAATTTCCTGGCCCTAAAGAGAAAATGGGGATGAGAAAGAGAAGCTCCCTATCTTCTTGAAGCTGTCATCTTAGTAAGCAGACAGAACAACATAGAAAGCAATAATCAGGGCGCCTGGGTGGCTCAGTCGTTAAGCGTCTGCCTTCAGCTCGGGTCATGATCCTGGGGTCCTGGGATCGAGTCCACATCGGGCTCCCTGCTCGGCGGGAAGCCTGCTTCTCCCTCTCCCACTCCCCCTGCTTGTGTTCCTGCTCTCGCTATCTCTGTCTCTGTCAAATAAATAAATAAAATCTTTAAAAAAAAAAAAAAGAAAGCAATAATCATTTCAAAGTCTAAACAAAAGGACTAGCCAGGGAAGAAACCAAAATGTAGGACCTACTTTTCAGGAAGTAATAAGGAAAGAACTCTCTGCAAAGATGGTACTTAAAAATGAAGGCAGAAAAGGATCAACCTAGGAGAAAACATTCCAGGCAGAAGGCATGCAAAAACAAAGCTCAGTAGTTAAAAAGAGGTTGGCATGTTGCTTCATCTGTCTTTGTGTTACACTCATTTAACAAAACTCCAGGACTGGGTGAAGCCAAGTCTTCGCTTTCTTTTTGCTTGCTGCAGGAAAAAAAATACTTAACAGGACAGAGGGAAATCACTCTGTATTTGCACCATCTCAACAGAGCTTCCATTACTCTAGTCAATTTGCTCTCCTACTCCCTGAAACTTCTATTTCAAAACTTCTCTCTCCTTAAAACTCTCACCCTTGCCAATCCTCTCACTCTCAACAAATGAACTCACCTCTTCAGAGAGAAAAATTGGAGCCATGAGAGAGAAACGTGCTCAACTCCCAAACTCCCCACTCCAAACCCACCATGATAAATATGTACCTTTTAAAACAGAGGAAGGTTTCTCTTCTTAAAGCTAGTTATTCCACTTTGCTCTTGAATTCCCTTCTTCCCACCCTCTCAGAAATATTATTCTACCCTTTTCTCTCTGGTACACAGCATTCAATTTCAGTCTCTCTGTGCCCATCTTGTAAGCATTTATACTCACTTCAATATGACAACTTTCTGACTTAGGAGAAAGTTCTCCTAAGTCAGAAGTATACAGAGATTAAATGGACTGCCATGGGAGATAGTTGTCCATCCCTGGAAATGTTCAAGAATAAACTGGATGCTTCACTGATAGAAAAGCAGTAGATTAAGTCAGTCAGAGAAAGACAAATACCATATGATTTCACTCATATATGGAATTTAAGAAACCAAACATAAAAATTGGGGAAAGGAAAAAAAAAAAAAGGAGAGAGGGAGGCAAACCATAAGAGAGACTCTTAACTATAGAGAACAGACTGAGGGTTGCTGGAGGGCAGGGAGGGGGGATGTGATGGGCTAAATGGGTGATGGGTATTAAGGAGGGCATTTGTTGTGATGAGCACTGGGTTTTGTATGTAAGTGATGAATCACTAAATTTTACCCCTGAAACTAATATTACACTCTATGATAACTAACGATAATTTAAATAAAAACTTGAAACACTGAAAAATAAATAAAACATAAAAAACAAATAAAAAGAAAAAGAAGAAAAAATAAAAAAGAAAAGAAAAGCAGTAGAGGACTCAAATACAAGATTGGTCACTGACCCAGGTGCATCTGTCAGGTTCCTTCTCAACCTAAGAATTTCTGATTTAAAGATAATCGAAATGGTCTATTGGGGATCTTTATTAAATGTTAAGTTTTGTATAGCTAGTAACAAATCCTCAGATACACCTATGGATTTTTCCTTATGAGGGGTATAAACTTAACAAGGCTACATGCCTACCATCAAATTTGAAATGAATAGCCTTGAAACTCAACTAAAATGAAGCAAAATACACAGGGACCCTCTATTCCATCTATATACCCCAAGATAAAGTTAGGCTGCAGGCAGACCATGTCAGAGCAATTTGGAGTTCTCACCCACAGTCTAGATTCTCAGATATTCCATACCATCAAGAATTTCCTCATGAACTTATCCTAGCCTACTCAAGGTTTAAACACATAAAGCTAGAATTCCCTTCAGAATATGCCTCAATAAATTATTTGAACAACTTACTTCATTCTTATTATAAATTTGCCTTCTAGGAGTTCCATTCAGGTTTGTATATACTATAACCTCAAGCTGTGTTTCCACCGCAGCTCTTTAAAGTGTACAATCATCTCAAAGTTTAGAAGACAAGGGCTCTATCATGATAGTTCAGTTACTATAAAGCACAGCTTTTAGTTATACTGTTCATTGTTTTAGGATAAGGGATACTCGAGTAAATGTTTTAAAATATCAACTTCTAAAAATAGGCAGTACCGGCTGGTGGAGGGAGGAGAGCAGAGTTACCCTTATTCACCACCTTCTCCTCCTCTAACATTTGAAAAATGGGATTACTTCCTAAATATTTTATTATAAGTTAACACTTATTATAAGGTATTGATCTTTGCATTTGATATTCTATCAAAGGAGAATTTTTTTAAAGTTACCTTAAAGAGCCAGATAATATTTCTTATTGCAAAATACTAAATTCTTAATCAGCCAAAAATCTACAAATAATTGCATTTGTGTCTTTTGATTATTAGGCAGTAAGCTCTTTACAATACCCCTAAATTATAGGAAAATGTATACCTATTACCTCCTTCAAATAAAACTATTTTCTAAGATCTACTAAATTTAGAAGTTAAATATTTTTGTCCAGAGGGTATTCTGTTTACTTTTAGTATTTTTTTTTTTAAATAGAAAGTTAGCACTGCCTGAATATTTCAATGTCCCTAAAACTATAATGTTTCTAAAGAAAGGTACTTTTACGGTCATCTCATTCACAATTCCTAAGAAGTCAAGAATTATACCTTGTAAAGTGAGTATGACTTTTACGGTCATCTCATTCACAATTCCTAAGAAGTCAAGAATTATACCTTGTAAAGTGAGTATGCTCTTTTTATTTGAAACCATCCAAAATCCGATATTAGTAGTATTTATTTAAAGACCTCTCCACAAACAGACCCTTTTTGCATTATTTTAGTCATTATTTAGTCATTAATTTAGTCCCAAGCCAGTGAACTCTTCCTTAACAATTAAAATTATTTTGCTTTTTGGAAATTCCAAAAAGTTATAAAGTTATGGAATTCCATAGTTCTAGTTTCTTTTCTATCCATCGGTATCATAAAAATTTATTTTATAAACATAACTAAATCTATACATAGTTTAGAAACGCAAAAAAAAAAAAACCCAGTGATTTAATAATAATCTCAAGATTTTAATAAGAAAACTTTAATAAGAAAAACTTACTATATAGCATAATTCTGCAGTTTTCTCCTACAGTTTTGAGAAAGAATCAAAAATTTAATACTATAGTCAAATTTATAAAATATTTAGTCCAGAGAAGTATCTCCATTGTAACCACTCTATTTAAAACTCTGATAATTGGTAATAACAGAGGTAAATACAATTAGACAGTAGTTCTACTTCCTGAAACAAACATACTATAACATTAACATTTTATGTACCTGTACATATAATATACACATATATATTTACTTTATAGATCCCATCAATTAAGAATCATAAAACTCCTTGGAATACATAAAAATGAAGCAAATGACGAGGAAAACACTTTCTTACCTGGTAGATATCAGAAAGACTGCTGCTTCCAGAATCACTAGTGATACTACATCCTGAATGGCTAGAAGAAACGTGCGTCACCTGTGGGTGGAGACTATCAGTAAGGTGTAGTTTTGTGAAATCTGCAGGAAGCTATGGAAGGAGCAGGAGAAACAGGATTACAATTTGAATCAAGAACTCTTAAGACACTGAAACATTTTATTATACTCTATCCATACCATTTACCCAAAAGTACTAGGAAAGATCTTTCATTTTTCAAGTTCACAAATTACCAAATGTTGTCCTATGTATCAAAAATCACAAAATAAATTTTTAAAGTTTAGGGACATTCAATGAATCTTAACACTACGTTCAATGTTTAAAGAGGTGGGTTTAAAGAGGTGGGTTAAAGAGGTGCTCACTTGGGTGAGCAATTAATTCAGTGAGTGACAACTTTCTAATTACACATCACTGAGGAAATTATTCTATTATTCGTTAGCCCCACAAATACAACTTTGTAGCAAGAACTAGCTTAAACAAGAAAACAGATTTGAGGTTCTTATATGCTCAAATACTATTTAGAAGTAAAGAAAAGGGGTGCCTGGGTGGCTCAGTCGGTTAAGCAGCAGACTCTTGATTTCGGCCCAGGTCATGATCTCAGGATCCTGAGATCCATCCTGCGTGGGGCACTGGGCGTGGAGCCTGCTTAAGATTCTCTCTCTCCTTCCCCCTCTGCCCCTCCGCACCCCCTGCTCATGGGCCCTCGCTCTCTCTCTCAAAAGAAAAAAAAAATGAGCATTTTAGAATTGACAAAATGAACTGTTATACAAGTAAATGTCCTAGGCTCTATGAAGAAAACAGAAAAGAATGCCTTCAAAGAACTTAGACTTGAGAAAGTTATGGACAACATTTACCTATCTATACACATACACATACATATCAATTTTCTATTTGTTCATGTTTAAACCCTAAATAAAAAAGCTTCTATGGAACAGATTCACTAAGTATCCCTCAAGTGCTTCTACGATTCCCCCATATAACAGAGAAAATGTATTGAAAAAGAAAATATCCATGGGTGGCCTGGGTGGCTCAGTTTGTTCAGCAGTGGACTACTGATTTTGGCTTGGGTCATGATCTCAGGGTCCTGGGATTAAGCTCTGCATCGGGCTTGGCACTCAGCAGGGAGTCTGCTTGAAGATTCTCTCTCCCTCTCCCTCTGTTCCTCTCCCTGTTCTGTCTCAAATAAATAAATCTTAAAAGGAGAAAACATCCATATATTTTTCCATTCAACAAATATTTATTGAGTCTTTTTCCTGTTACTATGTGCTAGTCAATGAATGAGACACTAAGAAAACATGCCTTAAGAATCTTATACTCTTATAAGTTATTACCAGTTCTTTTGAATTAAAAAAAGGGCACTATTTATACTATCCCACTTATTTTACTATTGGCCAGTAATACACTTGGCATTTCAAAATATAGGCTGACATCATGCAATACTGGTAACATTTTCTATGTCCTCCCTACATACTGATTCTATTTAGGTGTTGAATAATAATAAAAAATATTAAAATAAAACCTAAATAAGAGTTTATCTTAGCAACATTCCCTTTTCTCCTTTGATCTCATCCCTTCTCCCCATCCAAAAACAAGATGCCATTCCATAGATTAGAATAAATTTCTCAAGGGAGGTGATTTCCCAAGGGAGTTTTATGACAATGACCAATGAATTTTAATACCTCAAAGTTTCCAACAAAGAGGCAAAATGTATTTATATCCCACAATCATTCAGATCTGACTCAACAAACAGACTATGATATTTAATAATATTAAATACCGTCTGTACAGAAATATTTTTGACTTCATGAGAGACAAGGTAAACAAAGAAAAGGCTTAAAAATAAAGTTATTAGGGGGCATCTGGGTGGCTCAGTCAGTTAAGCATCTGCCTTCAGCTCTGGTCATGATCTTGGGGTCCTGGGATGGGGCCCTGCATCAGGCTCCCTGCTCAGTGGGGAGCCTGCTTCTCCCTCACCCTCTGCCACACCCCCCTGCTCATGCTTTCTCCCTCTCTCTCTTTCAAATAAATAAAATCTTTATAAAAAAAATAAAGTTATTAGGAGGTATATGATTAGATGCCAAATAAATGGACAAAAAACACATATGTTGGAGGAACTCAGAGAAGTGAGATGTTTACTCAAATGTGTGAAAACATTGCAAACGTGACATATCTCACTAAGGGTGTTGTTTTTTAAAAACCTGATAATTGAAGATGCTGTGAAATATTAGACAAAATTTAGGAAAATAACAATTCCCATATAAGGAATAGATAGGTGAATAATTCTAAGTTGAGAATTTATATATATATTTATCCACAATGTAGAATGGTGAAATATTTGCAGGATTTCTTCAGGAACAATTTGAAGACAGAAATCTGCCAAGATGTACTAATGACTATGATTTTGCATGTTGTTAAGTGATAGATATCAGATATTAAAATGTGTCCAAAACCAGGATAAATATCCTTCATCGTCTACATTTCCATTTAATTCAGCCACTCACTGCAGAAGCCAACTGGGGAAACATTATTCAATGGCTCAGTGATTTTAAAAGGCATAAATCAATACATATAATTATAGAACAATGAACTGATTTCTATTGATTATTTTTTATAGACATGACTCAGGTTGACATGTGCCACATAGTGTGATTTTTTTTTAATTAACTTAAATTTGTCAAATGAAGATAAAACTCTCTAATGAATTTTTACTCACTAGACATTTATTCAAGTCTCATAGGACTCTCTTCTCTTCAATATCCATTAGGTGGTCATCTTTCCTAAGAATTTGCTGTGTGGACAGTACTAAGAGCTACAGAGCTCTAAATCTACTATAATACACATGGATCCAGCCCTTATATACTATAATCTCTTCAACTATGCTAGCTTATAGCCACAGATACCAGAATTATATAGCTATGTTAGGCTAAGACCCATAAAGAGCTATTTAAAAAGAAAAAAAATATATTTTCACTCTTAAGAATTCAATTCTACTTTAAATACTTATTATTGAGTATCTGCTATGTCAGACTGTTAGGGCCAGGGAATATGGAGGTGGATAAGACAGTCCCAATTCCAAATGTAATTTTTACTACCCAAAATGTTATTGAAACAGGTGTTACCTACAAAAGAAAAAGAAATCAGACATACTTTTTTTTAAAAAACATGGCTTTTGGGACGCCTGGGTGGCTCAGTCAGTTGAGCGTCTGCCTTCGGCTCAGGTCATGATCCCAGGGTCCTGGGATCGAGTCCCGCATCGGGCTCCCTGCTCTGCAGGGAGCCTGCTTCTCCCTCTGCCTCTGCCTCTCTCTCTCTGTCTCTCATGAATAAATAAATAAAATCTTTAAAAAAAAAAAAAAACAACATGGCTTTTATCTTCCCCCTACCACGAGTATTTTTTCAGAACAGCATGAAATGTTATATTAAACTCAGAGTAAATGCATACATAATTTAGTATTAACTGAATACTTCTTTATATTACAGCAGATGCCACATTTAAGAAAGTTTAAAAATTCTCCCCATAGATTTGTATAATAATATCATGATTAAATTTTATTGACAGTACACCTCAGCCAAGGTTTCAGAATGGGAGAAGCTGTGGGAGCTGTTCCCATAAAGGAAGAGTCTGAAATGCACTGCTTTCACCCAGCCGGCCACAATACTCTAAAAGAATAGAGACCCGAGCCCACATCTAGGGAAAATGGTCTTTAAGAGGCAAATGGACTAGACAGGGATTGGAAGTTAGGGGACAAGCACAGCAGAGGCACCCACGTTTAAACATGAGGTCAACAAGGATAACGCAGAATCCTTAGGGAGGCAGTAACTCATAGTCTGAGTAAGATATACCAAGAAAGGGCACACTATGCCAAAGACAACAAGATTCATCTATTCCAAATTTTTCTAGGCTTGACACAGTGCCTATTTAAATTACTATCAGTATCCTATTTCATTAAATTTCAGATTAAAATGGGGCTGTGAATTATCTTGTGATTCTAGCCACCATTTATAGCTGAAACTGTTCAAAATATAAGAAAAATGTTTGAAGTTGGGACTATATACAGTAATTACCTGAATAAAATTAAACAATAATTAAACTAAAGGGAAAATTAACACATTTCATACATTTTGATCTTAATACCAATATATTTCACAATCAAGAACATAATTTAAAGGAGTCTCATATTTTTTTATCATTTAAATATTTTTACTATTTGATATATGAATATATTACTGTTCAAATTTTTCCTGGATCCAGCAACCTATATTCCTAAAAATATGGTACTTGTGGATCACAATTGCAATAAACTTCTGTTAGGCAAATGACTGAATCATAGTTTAACCACAAACACTATTAACTACATAAAAAATGCAGGATAATATTAAAATCAGATTTTTAAATGCATAAAGTAAGCATAAACAAAATTCATCATAATTTCATATAATCTGGGTATTATCAAAAGTTATATTGTTATTTATATATATATTATATTATTATATAATAACTTTTTTTCTTTTTGGGGAGAAAAAGGGATGTTACAACAATTAGCTGTAAACAGGTACTATACAAAAAACTTTAGTCTCATATAGGAACAGGCATTTGATAGTCTTTGATTTATTAATTAGTCCAATGACTGGCATTTATAAAATTACTAGTTAATAAATGAACTATGTTTTAAACATAAATGCACTGGTTTTGAGTGCTTTGAAGTCTCTGATACCACTAAGTCAATACTTTGTTGAAATGGTAAAATTCTTCAAAGTAGTGATAATGTATTAGAAGCTAAGACGGCTGCCTTCTTCCCTTTCCTTCTCTCCTCACCAAAGACTTCTTTATTCTCATGTTTTTAAGCTCTACAAGGAAGAGTTGGTATATTACTGGACATGTAATGGAAATGGACTAGAGTTTCATGTTTCACAATGCAGTATTATTAGCGTAGGGGGTTGCTAAGAAATCCAATAGTTAAAAAACAAAACAAAACAGAACAAAAATACTGCCACCAACATTTGAAATTTATTTAACTGAAAAATTTCCCAACTAACTTTTAGAATCACTTTATTTCAAGAAATAGTTACAACAAAACACACAAGGTTTGGGTTAATTGTTGGGATCTATGTAATCTTCCCTTTACCTTGAGTGACACTATCTAAAGTAAGTTAAATATCGTACTTAGTGACCCAAACCTAACTTTATATTAAGATGTATTACTAAGAATTTACCCAAATGAATACTGTTTTCCTCCTATCATCACTGGAGTTTTGTGAGTGTTCTTTATGCTCATGTTTTCAAGCTCTGCAAGGAAGAGTTGGCATGTTACTGGACACATTTCCTATTTTTCTCTGAGATGTTAGTGAAAATACAGTCCCTTCTCTTTTCTATTTTCTACTCATTCATCACTTATTGGAAACCTATGTTGTGAGGATTAAATGTATGACCAGGCATAAAGCATTTAGGGTAGGGCCCAGCACACAGAAATCACAATAGAAGTGTGTTAGCTATAATAATTACCACACGTGGATGCTGTGTAAGACACAGGTCCTTTCCAGCTCTAGAATTCCCACTGTAGCTAGAATCTAAGACTAGATACCAGTGGGTTATTGAGAGGGCTTTAGTGGCCAAAATCATTCAGCCACAAACACTGTCCCCTTACTCACTTTAGAACTCAAGTTGTGTTTTAAAAGCAATTCATATTTTCTCTCTCTGTGCCTGTTTACACACACGCACACACACACCCTATTTTTCTTTTATTACTCATCTGTTCAGATACTACTAGTCCTGACACTCTCTGACCTGTTTCAATATACAGCTTGAATAGGCAGGAATATTATTTAGTAGCTCATTTTAAAGGCCACTTCATAATACGATCGACTTTTAATATCTCTCAATCCTAATATTTCTTTAAGAACACCAGAAAAAGTAAACATTTGGATTCCTGAATATTATTCATCAGAAGTAATTTTTGCTTCCCTTATACCTTATATGTTCTAGATCCAATACTTATTCTTAATTACATCATCCATCAGTATTCCACAGAGAAAGATATTTGCACAATATACAGTTTCTTTTGTTCATAAACATAAAAGCAAGAAACAGTTTTCCTAAAAGTGTCATGAGATAATAATTTAATAAATGAATAGATCTAATTATATTTCTCATTAAAATACATGGAGACATTTTTTAATGTTGATATGACTATGTTTCACAGGAGTGGGTCTACAAGAATTTGCTTTATGTCTACTGGAGAAACCTGACAAAAATTAATCATTTGTAAGAACATTCTCCCAGCTTCCTGCAAGGCTCAAAAGACATAAGCTTCATGTCAACATATATGGGGTTATCCTCTGGTCAACCTCTTCCTCAGGAAACTCTGGACAAGTTAATTAACTTCTGTGTACCTTAGTTTCTTCTATCAAGTGAATATAACATAATACAAGGACTAAATGAAATAATCATTGTGAACTACAGAATCTACCTTACTGATGCCTCTCTCTTCCTTTTCATTCCCTCTGGCATTTTTCCAGTCAAGGTTCTCCATCACCTTAGGTCAGATGTTTTTCAAATACAATGAAAAAAAAAAGAGAGAAAAACCTGACTTATTTTTGACACTGTCATACCTAACACTACCATTACAGTAGTTTACTTATGATATATATTCCCCCGTCTATATGTTACATTTTACATAAACCATATGTTTATATGGACGAGCTCGCTGCTTAGAATACTGTACTAAATTCTGTAAAGTAAATAACCTCATTATCATGATATGCTTGTAGTCCAATTACTTACTCTCTTTTATAAACATTCAAATTGTCATAGCTAAGAATTCTCTCAAAGTGATAACATCTTGGGGAGTTTGTGCTTTTGTGTGTATAGTCTTACGATGTTTGACTGCAAACACCTCCATGTACTTGACCCAGACACATGCTGAAACCTGGTATGGCTTAACCACAGAAAGATACTCTTGGCATCCTGAGCACACTGCCTCTAGAGGACAGTCTGAACAGAAACACCACCGAACAGGAGCAAAGTCCAAGTTTAGTCATGCTTTATTTCAAAAATTCCTTGCTACTTTCCTACATGAAAATAATGCTTTAAAGGGAACTTAATAGAGAGGACTTGCTATGAAGATACTTATACACATGACTATTTCACATGGCTTTCTGTCCAAAAATAAACCTTTACGTGTTAGAATTAGCTACCGAGATATGGTAGTGACCTAGCCCTCACTCCAAGGCAGAAAAGTCACTCTCATGTTTTTTGGGGTTGGTAACATAAATGAATCATAAACTTCATTGGCTAGAGTTGGACAAATTACAATCTATCTAAAATTTAATTCCTATACTTATGAAATAGTGATAATTTGCACACAAATAGAACACACATTACCCTCTGTTGAGGAAAATAAACAACCATAACTAGTAAATTGATGTTTTTAAGCAAATACTTTTAGAAAGCCTTTTCTACTAGATGTGGAATGAAAGCACTGAACAGAAGGAATCCACGTGACATTTACTTCAAAACAGAAAAGTAGAATCCTTTAGTATGATGAGAAAATGTATGAACTTATTTAGGTACCATATATTTCAAAATGTAAGGCTGTGCCCCATTTTTTTCAAAGACAAGGCAATACTAAAAACACCTGTATATGAGTTCCTTTGTGCCAGACCCGGACCTAAGCACTTGCAGATATATTAGGCCATTTAATTCTTATGACTATCTTACGAAGTAGGTGTTATTATGACCATTTTAAATAGGAGGAAACTAAGACACGGAAAAGTTAAGTGATTTGCACCAAGATCACGTAGTGAAGAGGCAGTGAAGAAAGATTACAGCTCTGGATGTCTGGCTCTAGAGCACATGCACTTAAGCTTTAAATTTAATGTATTTATTTAGTAGCTGACCTGAAAACTCTCATGGATATTAATGAAATGGTCACATGGCTGCTTATATCAATTTATTGATATAGCTTCTTGTGCAAATTTTAAAATCATACAGGAAAATACTAATTTAAACTAATTTTTCACTGTCACTTTCATAAAATCAATTTATTAAAACTTTACATCTGCTTCCTAACAGAATTTTCATTCCTTCTAAATTATTTGAGATATATTACTTTTTTGAGTCTGTATGTGATAATGTGCATTAGTGAAGTTGATTTTTCATTTATCTTATAGGTTCTTTATAAAATCATTTACTATATACCTTATAAACTCATCTTTAAAATATTATGGCAATATCCAGTACTTGCCATTTTGAGATCACACACCCAGGAATCATTATTAAATCTGTGTAAAATGTAAAGCTTCTTTCACTCCTTTATGCCAGTTCCATCATGTGACACTGGTAAGCATTCCAAGCTAGCACTGCTTGAGGTCATTTCTGCATTATGTTCCTTACTGAAGAGTATTTTAAGTTTTTGGTTTTTTTTTTAATGTAAAAAAGAGAGAACCTCATAAAATATGTGAGGAGAGCAACTCCTTTTCTGGCACTTATTTTTGGCAGAAACTAAACCTTGCCTGATGTATAATTTCCCTAACATTTGATAATCAGAAAAAAATTATGCAGACATATACACCGAGTTAGTTATAAGTTAGTCAATGAATTTCATCGTCTTAAAGGAGGACACCTGGCATAGTGAGAGCAGTTCTATAATTAATATCAGAACCAGTGAAAATTCGTCATTTGAAAGATAGCTGTATCTTTTCAAAATGAAAATGCTTATCTGGGACCTAAAATAAAACAAATGTCTATACAGTTTTCCACAGAAATACTGAGGTGGTTGATTAATTATGATATATGGCCATGAAACATCCTGTTGCCTATTAAGAAACACAGTTTTATGATGGTTTAAGAGACAGCCACTCCATTCTCACTCCAGCCCCCCATCCTAACTCTCCTACACAACATATAATCCCTTCTTCTTTTCAATTTATTTGCAATCATCAATAACCACCAATCTGAAAAGCACACATTTCTCCAAGGGATTAAAAAAAAAAAAAAAAAAAAAAGCCTAGATCACTCAGTCCAAGAAATTGTCAATAAAATACATGGCAGCTGCTGGCTTTGAGTCAGGTATTTTAAGCATCATCTTCTCAGTAGCATTCCACCTATTTAAATCCCAAACCCTTTCGTGCATTTTCTCTTCGTGTTAGTAACAATGACTGCCACTATTTGGGGGGTATGTACTGTGTAATGAGCAAGGAGCTCAATATTCGATGTCTATTTGTTCTAATACTTGTAAAAAAGCCCAGATGCTGCTAAAGAGACAGAACTCAAACAGCTCGAGTGACTTGTCCAAGGCCTCCAGGTAGGAGGCTCTAAAATCTCTACCCTTTTTATTTTGTACCCTGACTCTAGATATTTACTATTTGGGGCCATATTCTAACCCAATCTTTGCACCTATCTTTTCCCTTATTTAAACAGTAAACACCTTAAAGGAACTTTACACTAATATAAGAACAGCTTTATTTTCTAATGTAAAAACCAGCCCAATAAATACACTTCTTAGCAAAATTTGTGATTATCCATATGGTAAAAGTGATAATCTCTTGCAGTTGCTAAAACTTGAGTCCTCAGTCTCTTGTTTTCCAGGACCAAGGGGGACCAGTGCTATGGAAGTAGCAGTCTCTGGAGAGGTTGAGAAGTTGCTGCTGATACCTGAAACCAACTTCTGTGACCAATTAGACAACAACTCTGATGAGCTCCAAAGGGACTATGCTTAGTTATCCCGGCTGTAAAAATGCTCAAGGGAGTATGGAGTTAGGGAAATGAGTGTTTAAAGTCAAGGAAAAAAGATTCCCAGGGGATCTATGGAGAACCTTAAGCTGCCTTCTTTTTGAATAAAAATAAAACAGTTGGTTTGGGGAGAAAGCCTCACACAGAATTAAAAACATTAACCTACAAGTAGTTTTTAACTCTTTAAACGTTATAAAAGCTACCACACATCCAAATGCAAAGGTACTAAGGTCTCTAGATGACAAAATACCATAAAATGTCTGAGACTGGCTAGTTATTCATCAGTGTCCTCCCTTCCAGGAAACACAGCTGGACCACATTTCCCAGCCTCCCTTATAGTTACGTATGTGCCCATATAAGTGAGTTCAAGCCTTACGAGTATGGACAAACACCAGTGATAGATGCCATTTCCACACCTTATAAAAATCTTCCTTAAGACTGTCATGATCTTTCCCCTTGCATCAAAAGAATGTCTGCTGGACAACAACAGAAACTTTGTTTTGAGGGTTAGACAACTGAGCCACAAAACAGAGGGGACTGGATTCTCGAAACACTGCTTAGAAGGGAACTATCCACTAAGTAATCAAGAGGACTTGCTTTAGATTTTATGCAGAAGAGAATAAACTTCTACCGTGTTTGAACCATTATGTTTTGTTTGGTACAACGGCTAGCAGTATCTTAACTCATATAAATACATTATCATTAACTCACATAAATAAATATAAATAACTCATGTAAATACATTGTCTTAACACATAAATATCTTAACTCATACTCAGTGAGACCTATTTGTGAAAAATCTTTCACAATGAAATTCTAAATTCCTTAAGGAGAAGTAGGTGGGGCTCTGAAAATATCTTGACCTCATAGTACTAGGTCCAATTTGGATAAAATAAACATTAGAGTTTTTCTACATATTCAACACATTTATTGAAAACCCACTTTATGCTAGTATACCAGGCACTATTCCAGGTTTTCTAGATATTGGAGTAGGAAAGATAAACTCCCTGCTCTCATGGATCTTACAACTAGTGGGTAGAGACAAACAATAAAAGGATAATGAAGAAAACTGTCAAATAGTGATAAGTGCTGCATTCAACAAAGATTAAAGGAGACTGATGTGTTATGCTAAGTGAAATAAGTCAATCAGAGAAAGACAAATACCATATGATTTCAGGCACAAGTGGAATTTAAGAAACAAAACAAGTGATTTTGGGGGGAAAAAAAGAGAGGTAAACCACGAAACAGACTCTTAACTATAGAGAACAAAACTGATGGTTCCCAGAGGGGAGGCGGGTGGGGGGATGGGTGAAATAGACGATGGGGATTAAGGAGGGCACTTGTGATGAGCATCGGGTATTGTGTGGAAGTGCTGAATCACTATATTGTACACCTGAAACTAATATCACACTGTATGTTAACTAACTGGAATTCAAATAAAAACTAAAAAAAAAAAAGAGAGAGAGAGAGAGAGACTGATGTGATGAAGAGTCACAGGATAGCCAGGGAAGATCTAAGATGTGATACTGAGATGAGAAAATTTTTTACATTTTCACTTATTTTCTAAAGGAACAGTTCCAATTATATCATTTTGCTAGATATATATATTTTATAGATGTATATATGTGTGTTATGTTATCTAATAATACACATAACATACACCTACACACATATACACATAAACATACATACGTATGTATATATATACACACACATACTTTATATATATAACACATACATTACTTTCTATATATTTTTATAATATATGTTGTCTTTGTGTAAAAGTGAGATAAGTCTAGTCAT